CCTTCACTTATAACTCCATTTTAAGAAATGAGTAAACAACGATGACTAAGAAGCTTTGGCTAGAAACGGCTGATTTTGTTTCATTTTTCTAGAACTCAGAAGAGATCCATATAATGACCTTAAACCATCATGATGCTGCTTTGTCTTTGCTTCACTTTACCTTCCATCTAGCCCATCTAGCACTGGGCAAGGGCTCATCTCTGTCCTGCACATCCCAGCTTGCAGAATTCTCTACTGCGTTTGGAGGAGTTCAGCGACAACTACAACGTAGCAATGCTAAAAAAGGCAAAAACTCAAGATACAGAAAAAAAAAGACAGACTCAGCTGGTTCCGAAGTGTCCATTTACTGGCTGCTCCCTCTCGGATTTCCAAACCCCACCGACTGCATCAGCACCACTAAGGACAACAGAAAACTCAATTTTGTATCCATTGCAGCCTTGTCCTGTACCCTTTCCTAGAATTAATTCACATTCATGACCACGCTGATGCTGGGGCAACACGAAGCCATACATGCCAATATACCACAACCTATGCCAACCCCATTTTCACAGCAAATTTGACCAAGTCAAATAACTTCTCCCAGCAAACTTAAAATGTGCTATTACTCACTGGCATGTAGGCTCTCCTGTGGAAATACTGCCTTGGGCATCCTGGTGCTACAGAACACAGGAAAATCTGTTTTACCACAGATAAAGGAGTGGTTCAGGACGTGAAGATACTACAATACATTAAATCTGGACTGAGTATATATAGAAGGATCAAGAAGTCTGTTTATCAGGTATCAACTGTTATCAGACAAGCTAACCTGAATGTTAGTCTTCTACTTGAAAGGGGAAGGTATTTCTGAAATAGAATAATCTTCTCCAGAAAAATAAACATAAACACAGTCTAGACTTAATGCAATACAAAAATCTTAATTTTCTGAATGATTCTTGCATCTGGAGTCCTTTTCAAAATTTAATACAGATTTTCTTTTATGTTCTACAACAACAGCACACCAGAGACGATATTTCCGTGGAGAAACTCTAACACAATATTGTCTGTATAATCTGGAATAGGAGCCTAAGTATGCACAACTGTTTAAAACACAAGTTTAACATGAAGCTGGAAAGGTCTTTTTAAAACACTCCTGCATTACAATGAAAATTCAGTGTAAGTCAGCTGAGCTTTATCCTTCTTATACTGCTTATCTTAAAAATGCTAGAATTTCTTATGCAACACAGCAAAGTCATATTATTCTTATTAGGTATTACTAAACATTGACAAGTTTTTACAACATGATCAGAAGAGTAACAGAAAACGTTTTTTCACTAAGCCACCATTGCATCAGATATGATGGTTTCCATGAACACCTGACAGAACACCCAGAAGAACGTGGCTGGTTCTGCAATGGTTTGCTACACATCCCTGTGGTAGCATTGTTTTAACATGAGATTACATGGCATAGAGCCATGAATCCACAAATCTGAACGGTGCATTTAGTATGCACTATGTTAACTGGGACAAAACACCTATGACACAAATGTTGTGCCACTTCTCATTTACTGTTTGCCACTGCTATAAAGAGGCGGCTGCTTCCTTCTATAAAATAACTAACGGTAATAGAATTAGGTAAATATTTACAAAGGTAATCCAGTGTGAAACACTGCATCTAAAAGCAAGCAAATTTTTTTTTGGACGGCGCCTTTCTTCCTTTATAGAGCTCTTTGCTTTGTCAATATGCAGAACAAAATAAGTCTGTCAGGAAACTCTGCATTTGTTATCAGCTCATTCTCCTTAGGTGGCAGGACTGTAAATATTTTTCTTCATTATCACCCTGACAGTAAATAACTTTGCAGGTGTGATTTAATCAACAGGAATGCCAAGATTTCACAATTTTGGCCTACCTTAAAGCAAATGAGTAATAGAGAAACCCATGCACCAGGAAACAAATGAGCAGAACTAGTGAACGAAGGTCTATCAAGCAGGGTTCAAGATCACTTGGGTTGGATGACAGTTGATATATTTGCACTACAGTTCATCTGTGTTCTTATCTGGGAAATGTGTTCTATAATAAATTATAATTTATTGCATGTTTTGCAACCTTGTCAAAGGGCACACCTAGGATTTTTGCTTCAGTAATAAATTCCACCCAACTGTGTACAGGAATTCACTTGACAATCTGGACATACCTAAAACATTTTGGTATTTTCTAACGTCAGCACTTTTGATCTAGCACCAACAACTCATTCAGTTTACACAACACCTTATTTACTTTCTTCTAAATTTAATTATACTTAAAAACTAACAAGAGATTTCAAAGGAGTTCCCAAATGACAGTTACCAGTGGCTGTTGAACCCCTATTCCCAATCCATAACTGCTTCTCATCCCCTCTTTTTGCTTGTCTTTTCCCCTTTGGGAGTGTTTATCTCCCAACAAAGCAACAGAACGTTGTGATCAACCTCAGCAATATTTCTTGGTGTACACAGCTGAATTGCTCATGAGGCTGGTCATATGTTCCTGCCTATTATCTGTAAAAATGACAGCAGAAACAAAACTTTAGAACAGCCCTAAACCTTCCATATTATTATATACAGCAACCAATTGGTAAACTCCAAGTAAATATTTATGAAGATGAACGTTTACTGCCAAGGTGCTTCGAATTTTTCCAAGAGGGTTTTTTTTTCATTAGTGATTAATCAAAAATTGGTAGAGAATAATCAGATCATTACAGCTTTAAGTTCAGCTCACCACTGGTATGCAGTATCACATGTTAAAATTTTATGTCAGTATGCTAGTAACTGAAGGGCTTTCTAGGATTAGGGATGGCATCCTTGTTTTCCTTTCTAAAACCACTGTTCAGGGTGAAAGGGAATTAATTTTTTTATATAAGCAGAAAGTTTCTGAAAAAAAATTGCTGCTTTGCTATGAAATTCACCATCTTGATCTACTCATCTACTCTGAGTATACCTGGACAGATACTTGAAACAGGTCTGTACCTTTTATGAAACTCTCCTAAATACAATGAATGAACCACTTCCTTGGAAATACTTAAAACACTGTATTTCTCTGCTAACAAATGCTATTTCTGTCTGCAGTTACAAGAAAACCTAAAATACCAAGCAATATGACTTGAAGATAAATGCTTACTGTTGTGTTTATGCTACTGGCCAAAAAACCCACACCAATAATGGTTAAAAAATGTTTAGAAGCATTAAATTCAAGTATTAACATTTTTCTATGAATTGTCTATGATGCTGTTGTTGTAAGCCTGACCTCAATTTGAAATGCTAAATACACATTAGTGCAAAGATTTTTTTTGTTCACGTGTTTTTTCATGTCATTATTTTTTCTTTTCTATTTAACTCTGGTTTCTTACTTACATTAGCAAAGTAACTGAAATTAATTTGGCTGCAGTACAAATAAATCTTACCTGTATACCACTTCATTAAAAATCTGCACGTGTACTATTATAGTTGGAGTAACCAATTAATATGTATGAACTGCTAAGACTGAAAAACACTTATTTCTCTAACCTTGCTTTCACAGGCAACTGTCTGAAACCCACACCTTCAAAACTGAAAATTTCAGTATGCACTGTCTTTCCATGTTTCAGGCTGGAAACCTCAAAAGAAAATCCCTTCTAGGTTTTTAACTTAATGACCTAAGTTTTGAAGGGGAAAGAACTCCTTCCATTAGCCATATATTAAAAAAAAAAAGTTATTTTGAGAGTCTTCATGACTCTCAGGCTCATAAAGTCCTTCTAAGGATTTATATTCAGCTTTGTATAATATTAGAAGTCGTGTGTCAGCAGCAAAGCCATGTATCCTTATCACCTATAGATTTTTGGCAGACACAAGAAAACTTCTTTCATTACAGATTCTTGTGTCCTATCCTTTGACCACTTGCAGGTCAGTAAACTCACTTCTGCCCCAGGTTTCCTGCAGGCTCGAATCACAGTGCATTCAGGTCTCCTGCTTCCTCCCTGTCTCTCAAGCTCTTCCACATTACCTTGAATTCCCTTGAATTGGGGGTATTTCCTGCTCAACACCCTCCAGTCACTTCGATGGCTGCTGCCAGCTGGGCACAGCACCCCAGGCGACGACTGCCTTTTGCTAGAAAATGTGCTGCTCTCATCAGTATGTGCAGACTGCGGCAAACAATAATTGAAGTTGGGATTTCCCTCTCTCCTCTCAGCAGAGGTACTAACAGAGCATTTGTCCTCTGAGTGACAATCCTCTCTGAAATTTGGCGAGCTTCATCTTTCCAAAGAAAAAAAGGCAAATTTTTGGAGAAAAAACATACATTGTTTTAAAAATCAGTGTAACGTGGAAATTACAGAAGATGATACAGATAAAGATAAAGGAAGCTTAAGATAATGCAGAGCTAATGGGGCCAGAAAAACCTGGAGGAAAGGAGGACAACAACCTATGCACTTTTTGTGTCTCCTGGTCCTACCTTCTCCTCAGAAAGCATGCTTTTAAAAGTACTGTTTTAAAAACATTCATAGAATTTTTATCTGTTCTTAACTAGGTTTTATCAAATCATTTATCTCTCTCAGAGGAGATTTGAAACCAGAAACCTCGAGCTAAGCTCAATGCTTCATTACACTCATTCAAGTCACTCCCATTACTGCCTCTTCTATGAAAAAAGGTCACAGAGTACTTACTGGTGAAGTGGATAGGCAGATAACGGGGCCAGGAATGGTATGAACACTATTATATTACAGTCCTAGCATTTTCTGTGACATGTAAGTAATTGAGGAACTACATACTGATCAGACAGGTAAATTATGCAGAGACGTAATGTCATCATCAAGTCACCAGATTTCTAAATCATCAGCCTCACTTCACTGGTGTAAAGGTGGCTCCGAGAATCCATATGCAAAACATTTATAAATTGGCTTCTGCTGATTTAGGTCAGATAAAGGGTCTTATCCCAGTGATTTGCAAATTACACCTTTAAGGGGACCTACAGGTTTCTTTTCCTTCACAAATACAATGATAAGAAAACGACTTACGTTCAACTTGATCAAACATTACTGAGAACAAGAAATCTCTTGGTGTCATGTAATACTCTCCTTCATATTCCAATGATGCAAAATGCATGAAGCGATGCTTCCGAAGAGACAGCCTTTCGTCCCGTTCCTCATTAATGACATCTTCCTTCTGAAACAGAAAAAAAAATCATGCATAAAGATGGTTGTATTTGTACACCAACTCTGTCATTCAAAAGAATGCTGTACCTGATCTTGATTACCCTCAGTATTTTGTAGGTAGCCACAACAAGAGAATACCAGGAATTAAAGCTTTTATGCCATGGTCTTAATGAACGACATGCTTATGTGACATCCAAAGTATTTTTTGGCTTTGCTGAGAGCATGCCTTCACAACACAGCTGAGCCAAATTAATGGCTTGGTGTCACCAAAAGCTGCCTTTCCTTCCCACTCCCTTGCTCTCGGCCTTATGGTCCTGCACCTCCTCATTTGCCAGCTCTGCTACTTGTCAGTCTCTTGCTGAGCCAAATCCAGCTTGCTAGCTCAACAAAAAACTAAACTGACCAGACAGCAAACAGTATTTTGCCAGCTTAGTGACTGGCTCAGCAAAGGTTGAAATGTGCTCTGTATCCATGCAAATGATCCACTCCTGGAGTTAATTATCAAGTTCTGGAGCAACTCCTAAGATGTGAGTATAATGAGATTCTAGCTTATGGCCCTGTCTTTCAGAGAAGTTAGAAACATGGAAAAGCAATGAAAACACCAACAAAAGACCCATCATCAGCCCCAAAGATTCAACTAGTTAAGCAATCAAAAATCTTTCAACACCCCCACCCCCTCCGCCTTAAATATTGAGACGCGGGATCAAAATCATACAAGTGGGTAGGACTGTTCAAAGATGTGAGAAAGTGAAGGAAAAGCAAAAAAATCCAAGGCTAAGTACCGAGATCCCAACTCGAACATACTTGAAACAAGTCAGTAAACAGCAAGATGGGTCTGCAGCGAGGCCCGTGCCCGTGGCATTACTCGGTGTGTGCCGCAGCTGAGCTGGTACAGCCTAGTCCATGGCCTACTGAGGTGCTGCATCATGTCTTCCAGCAAACAATCACTATTCCTTTATGCAGTTTTCAGTTTCTGGATCGTTCCTATGGGCTGCCTGGCATTTGAGCAGTCCAGTACGGTGCTGCAAACGGGGTTACTCCTGAGACAGGGCAATATAAGTGGCTCCTGGTTACTTCTCAGGCCAGCTGCGGGTGCAGCAAGGGTCTCACCAGCTGATGATAAAACACAGGGTCTGCTGTGCTGAGTGTGTGGATGGAGTGAACTGTGGGACACAGACAGGATGCTAATGGAGAAGGGGGAGACCAGGGGGAACATCTCGCTTGGTTTTCCTGAAGTCAGCACTGGTGACAGCGACAGGCAAGGTAACAGGCATTCAGATGCACAGGAGGTTGTTATGAAAATTGGGAATGTGCACAGATATTTGCAAACAGCGTAGCAGGTAATAGGGCACCTTTGTGTTTGTCTGCACGTGCCCAGGGAATGGGCAAGCGAGAAGGGAATGGGACTCTCTGAACAACTTAAAAGCTGTGATCAGATTTCTGACACTTCAGTTTTAGCTGTTCCTCCAGGATGGGGACTGCTAATTCAGTCTCCTCTGCTGAGTTCAAACAATTGCAGAATCAAGCGCTAGCAGGTACATTCCCTGCACCCATGAAGTGGCAAAGACAGCAGGGGAGCTGGCTGATACGATGAACATACAAGCTGTTTTGGGATACTAGCTTCTAGCTCACAGACAGGGCCCTGAAGTTAAAATAAAAAACATTAGGCTTAGCGTCAGGCTTATGGGAGGACTGATATTGATACAGGCAGCTCCGAATAATGGGACTCAGCATGGTCTGAAAGTAATGACCAGCTCCTTCAAAGTGAAGCTCTCCAGGAACAGGAGGGTGGACCTCAAGCTGCAGGTGATAACCAGTCCACTGAAGAGACCGTGAAGAAACATTTCAGTGGACAATGAGACACCAGAGAAGAGGATGGAGCATTTCAACTTTGTGTCATTAGGGTTCCTTATTCTCTACCCACCGTGGTCCCTGAGTGGCTAAAGGGACCAAATGTTCGTTACCATTTGGGGATCTCAAGACAAGGGGCACAACTGGCAAATCTATAGCCAGAGCCTGGATACAATTATTACCGTCATATATTATATCATACTATACTTATAGTTCTAAATAGAAGGCTGCAAATTGCCATTTAATCCCACTCCTTGCACCTTTGTGTTAGCATTAAGCCCTTGTTAAAATACTGCACTGAACGATACAAGCACCTTGTTATAATCCATTTTAGTTTCCCCCCGTAACGCATTTGCTTCACTCAAACCTTGGATTTTAATGAAGGTGGTGGGGAGGGTACCAACAAGAAAAAACCCAAAATACTCATAATTTAGAATTAAACCAGTCATATTTTGATATGCAAGGAGAATGATACTTCTAACTATCTGAAGCCAAGGTTTGCTTTGTTTTAGATAGGACCATTTTGTACCAGTATCACTGCTTCAAGCTTCTTACATAGTATGGACCTTCATCACAGCCTACAACACAAGTTGCACTGCTGCTGTTCTGTGATTCAGGTCTGTATGTTCTGGAAAACACTGTTTAAAACTATATCTAATGTAGTAAGAACTTTAGCTTTCTTCTTTTTAAAACTTTGGGGGACAGGTTGACTGTAATTTCTTTGTTAACAAGATTCAACAAATATTGCAGATATCAAATGCATAGTTCATAGTTGCTGGGTATTAACATGCAGCATTCTTATTAAAATCATCTCCTTCTCATAATAACCAAAGCAATTTTTGCCCAACGGCAAATTTAAAAAAAAAAGGTAAATTGCTTCACAGTTGTCCTTTAACTAAAATTATGGAATGAAAACTAATCTTTCTGCACAAATACAAAATTAAAAAGTTTAGACAAGAAGGAATGAGCTAATCCTACGTCTTCAAACCAACTGGATTTTCAAGTTTCTTAGGTCTTGCAGTATTTGTCTGAATTCTGTCTCAAGCTAAACTTGTTACTGATATCAAAGCACTGAATTTCAGCAATCCACAATTTTAATTGAAATAAATAGGTACAAGTTCACATATTAATTCTGAAGAGTGCCTTGTATTTGGAAGAGAATGTATTCCCATCAGAATTACAGTAACGTGTGACTGCAGATTCATTTCTGTTCATGCAACTACCATCCCTGATTTGCAGAACAACCTCAGGAACATGGGGCAATTCCTATGGAAGTCAGCTTCAAACACTAGCACAAATGAGATAAGCAAACCTTACGGGATGAAATGCATCAGCTGTGCCATCTCCTACTTTATTTTCAAAGCCTTTGCAAAATTCTTGACGTTCTGTCACTGTATGAGGAGCTCAGAATCAGCTGAAAGCACTCTGACCCCTCTGGACGCCAGCACGAGCTCAGCTAGAGCTATACTAGACCTCAGCTGCTCATGCGCAACTGCTTACTGCTTCTGAAGAGCGAACGGTCCTCAGACTGAGAACTCATGGCACTCCAAGGGCAGTAAAACAATTTATACCAGCTACAAAGCTGACCTGCCATCTTTATGATGACAGGCATCTTTATTTCTGCTTTCCCCCATGTTTTAGTATAGTTATTGTGACAGTGTCCACAGCACACTCCAAGTATGTTAATGTTAAGGGAAAAAAAAGACTGTGCAGGAGTGCAGAAGTATAAAATGAAGGCAAAATATTTGCAATTATCTCATATGCCATTATTTTATATTTTAATTTATGGAGGAGCACAAGGCAGACCTCAGTCAAGGTCCAGGATAGAACCATGTACAGACGAAATAAAAAGCTTATCAAAATATTTCAAAAAAGCGGAGTAAGTTTTACCCCCCCTTGACAGTTATGAGAATAAAGGCTGACATTTCCCCAAGTGGCTGTGCATTCTGCACAAAACCTAAGAAAAAAAAAAAATCTGAAAGTTTTTATTAAGATCGTTCTTTCTACAGAATATCTGGGAGCTGAGGGAACTGGGCTTTTTCAACTCAGGGAAGAGAAAGCTTCAGGGGGACCAAATAGCAACCTGCCAGCACCTACGGGGAAGTTACCAAGGTGTTTGAGCTGGGCTCTCCACTGGAGCTTCATACAGCTACATCACCAGCACCTCCGCTCAGAGTGGTTAATCTGGATTCCCTTTATAACAAGTGGTGAGAACGGCAGTTCTGGAGTGCAATCACTGGGACTTCTTTTAGCTGTCTGGACAGACAGTCCAGAAGATGCAGAAAGGGATAGAGCACTACAAAAACAGTTGGCCTTTCTTCACACCAAACACATTTGCACAATTCTATTGCATGAGAGGCTGAAAATCTGGGCAAACGCAACTGGACAGTGGAAGCTTGGAGGAGATGAGGTGGTGGCAAGGGTGTTACACACTTCAGCCAGGCCAGAAAGCGTGCAAGGAATATGAAGATTTTTATTGCCTGGAGTGAAAGGAAGTAGCTTTAACAGCCACATACTCAAAGGCACATCATGATGACGTAAGGCCTTTTAATCGCCATCTTTCTCACAATGTTTTCCAAAACCAACAATAATACTGTTCAAATTGGTTTCATACCAATTAAGGACTTGAACCTGCTACATTTGGCATCAAAGACTAGACATTCACAATCAAATTGTAACCACATCGAAAAAGTGACGACACTTCAGGTGTAGGCCATATAATTTATAATTTGACAAAAATACTCAATACAATTACTTGTGCAGATTTAATGAAATTGAATGTAGCTGGATGATTGCCCTTTAAAGATGAGTACTGATCTTATGCTTGCTCTTCTTAATCTCTTCCTTAAACATACTCCGAGCATTTAATTAAGCTTTGAGTGACATCTTTCTCGTATTTTGGTCATCACACTTACATTAGCCTCACTGCCAACTATGGCCCTCATACTGCCTCAGTTCCTCTCCATTTCACCACACAAAACCACTCTCATAACCTAAATAAACAGTAAGAACATAACACTTTACTATGATTATTTTCCAAATCAAAGAATAATTTCAGAAGGTGAAGAGGGACTCAAACCTGGAGTGGGACTTTTTACAAGGTCATGTAGTGATAGGACGAGGGGTAATGACCTCAAACTGAAAGAGGGGAGATTTAGATTAGATATTAGG